TGAGGAGTCAATGGGTGAGAGACAGGCTGGAGGGGGCTGGGGGGGAGAGAGAGAAGGGGGATGAATAGGGGAGAGATACCTAGGGAGTCAAATGTCAGGCAGGGTTATAATAGTGTTGTCAATAACTAAAGAGCCTCTGTCACTAAAGCTATGTTGGTAGGACCCCTTGATGTAGGCTCATGGTATGCCAACAAAATGAGTTTTTCTTCCAGTGTAGCTACACTACATCCCCAGACAACACAAAACTAACTCAACAAAAGCCTTCTTCTCTTGTCATAGCTGTGTCACAGCAGAGGCTTCACCAACACAGTGTTTCCCAACCAGTGTGCCACAACACAATGGTGTGCTGTCAGAAATGAATAGATGTGCCACAGCAATAAGCTACAATGAGCTCATAAGTATGAGGATGGGGAATACTACCTTAACAGGTATGCCACAGAAATTTTTTATTAATGTAAGTGTGCCTTGGGCTGGAAAAAGTTGGAGAACAATAAGCTAAAGGATGTGATTTTGCCCCCCACCCCTTTCTCTTCACCCTCCCCTTGCAACACACACACACTCCAATCAACATAGTAACAGTAACAGTATTCAGTATAGATGGAACCAAAGGCAACTGACATGTCAGTAACACTAAAACCAACAAAATTATTAATAAGCTTCTGAAGCAATGGCTTTCTTAAAAGAAAAAAAAAAACTTTCTTAAAACAAAAGAGTTTAAGAGTTTAAAAATAGACACTGCAGCAGTGCACAGTATTTTCACTCTGCAAAAATGTATTTAACCTAATGTAGAATTATGGAAAACTAGAAAATATCAACTCTAAACCTTATTTTCATTTAGACTGAGTTATAACTAGTGCATAGTGTCTGCAACAGTGTAATGCTGGCACTACGCTGGACAAGAAGGAAAAAATGTAGCTCCTGCAAAGAGAAAATTAAGATGTATAGCCTTGGTGGGAAAAACAGATCCCTTTTTCAACTTTCACCTCTTCAGTACCCCTGCCACTCCCTGTTGGCCCTTGTATGAGCCACAGGAACAAAGGAAAAAAAAAAAAACAGGAAAATTTCAGGAAACAATTTTTCAAATAAATGGAAGTTCTGGCTCCACATAAGGGTTCTTTATATATTTTGCATGTTTTCATCTATTTTTCCTTACCTATCACTATTACAAGCACCAAGTAATCTAAAATTCACCAGAAACTCTAAAGGCCTTCTTCTTGATAGTCTTCAGAACCTGGCTTTATTAATGAGAAGTTTCTGAAAAGTTTCTTTACCTATTGGCAACTATGGTCAAAAGAAATCATATTCTCTTTTACAAATGTCAACTAAAATGGGGAAAAAGGAATATGGTTTGGGGCCTCCATCTATGAAACCATCCACAAAAGTCCTTGTTTTCTGGGAACTTTCAGGATCATGTATTGAGCCCACCTGGTTGATCACAAACTTTATCCTATCTGAGCTCTAACTGGCTCAGTTTTCAAAATTTATGAATCCCAGAACATGGAAGTTTTGTGTATTCAGTTAAATTCTAGTACCATCCTAATGTAGCTGCTTGAAACAAATCATGAACAAAAAGTTAATTACCTAGCAAATACGTAACATATTAAAATGTAAAATTAATAATTATCTGAAAATATTAAACTATATAATTGCTTAAATAAATATATATAGTCATAGTGCACCCTCCTAGGAAGCAAGCAGATATATCAATTCAAGGATAAAGGGTCCAATACTCAGTTGTAAATCTGCAATTTTACTGTTACATCAATAAGAATGCATCTTTCTTTAGAAAATAAGTGAAATACAAATGGAAAACTAAATCAAAATCAATCATTTCAAAACCAAGGCTTTCTACTTAGTAATTTAAAATCTTGTTGTCTTAAATTAATCCATTGTGGCTGGCTAGAGGAACAAAGACGACGCAATTCATGGTGACAAAGTGGGATCTGAATATAGGCCTCCTGACTCTTCTGAGAGTGTGGCATCAAGGAGATCTGTATGACCTTTCCAACTTGAGAGGGTCACTATGTTGAAAGACTCTTTTCCCTCTGTTCTGAGACTGCCTTATGATCAGTGCCATCAGAAATCCCATCCTTGAGCCAAAACAAACCTGTGACCAGAACCTGACTATATCCCTTGCTTAAGTAGTAAATTAAAATGCACTCTAGAAAAAGGCAATGAAGTCACATTTTTAGTGGAAAAGTCTTCTCCAGAACTGCTTGGGGAAAGGAAGCAGGAATAGTAGTGAATTACAGCAGTTGCAACAGAGTGAAATGCAGACTTTTCTACATGGATTACACTCTGGTTTTACTTATGCTACTACTGGAAAACCATAGACATGTTTACCTTGCTTCCTTAAAGAAATATAAGGCTAAAGTACATGAGAATAAATTGCTCCAAATCACAAATTTCTGAAAGTAGTACAGTACTTAAAAAAAATCACGTTTTTACGGCACAATGCTTATTCATAACTTAGGTATATAAAAATATGTGGCTTGTACCTAAGAGTGTAATCATCTGGAAGGTTTGACATAAAGGTATATATATATATATGTCATCTTACGGCTTTCATAATGCCCTTGGCAAAATCTGCTGAACTACACAGTAACCAAAGCAACAGAAACTAGTAGACAGGCTCTTTGTAGTTAAGCTAAGGAAGTTTTCCCAAGGAAATCTCTCAATTATAAGTTGGTTATTTTTTAATGGGTGGAGATGGAGAGCTTGGCAAATCAGCATCAGGACAAATGGCCAGTTGTGCAACAGACTACAGGTATAGGTCAAACCCCCACCTATACTGAAGTTTCTTAAGCCATGACCTATAAAAGGCTTCTACTTCTACTCCCAAATGATTCTAAGAGAAGAACGCTAAATATACAGTAGATTTGTAAAAAAAATAATTCTCACTAGGAATCGAGTCTAAAATTTTCAAATGTTAGAAACTTATCCAGATTCTCAGAATCCAGATTCTCAGAATTGATACTATTTGAAGATTCAGTTAATTTCAATGAGAATCAAGGATGTTCACACCTTTGAATTTTGAGATTACTTATTTAGGTGCTTGCATACAGATCTGGGAGTTGAATTTCATTCTCTCGCATTGAAACATTGACCACAGAAAACAAAAATATTCTCACTGCCAACAAAGCATTAGGCACCATCTTTATAACGTTTAAAAAAACGGCAGCTCACTGAGCCTCTCTACATATTAACAAATATTGTTTATTTAAATTACTTCAAGCAATAAATGTTATAGGAAAGAGGCTATCCACTAGTGAGTGAAAAGTAATCAATATTTGGACAAACATCTGAAAAAATATGCATAAATAGGAAGATTACCATAATTTTTCTGGAAGTCAAAAATGCAATGAAAACTGTTTATCAACATTTTAACATCTTTTCCAAGTTAGATTCACCAAAGATATAAAGGTTATGCCTCACACCATCAATATTTAGTCTGAGAAAAAGAAAGAAAGAGGTTTCTCAACAAGAAAACAATACTAACCTTCATTCCTGGGGACAGCTTCCGGACCCCCTGTTTTATCTGGCATCTCAACAAGACCAGGTTACTGAAACCTGAGGGATATAAAGAAAGAAAAGTACTCTCAGGAACAGTCAGTACATTCCAGGTGAAAGACACCTTTCCTCCCACAGGTTAGGGTTATAGTTTCAGCTTCAGTCACCTCCACCCCCTCAAAAAAATTGAAGAATGCCACTAATTCCAAGTGTCTTTAACAAGATAGCAGGACTTACGTGTTAAAACCGCAGTAAGGGTTTACTAACCTAGATGGATAGTACAAGGAATCTGACAGATACCTTTGATCATTTTAATAAATAAGGCATATCAGCAATTGGTCTGACAGACTTTTTTTCCTTCAAGTTCTACATTTTTAAGTGAATTCTCAGTCAAATACCCATCTTCCTACTATGCAATGGAGGAGCTATTCATATCCACTTCTTAACAAAATATAATAGAATTCTCTCTCTAAGTTCTATATCATATATTATAACATCTACCAATCCTGAGTTTTTAAAACAATGTTTTTACATGAGTTTTGTAAGAGAGTGTTTGTTTATTTTAAATACTACTGGATTGTGGTTCGTGATCTCACTCTTAAATAGGACTATATATTTAGAGAGGGACAAAGTTTGTTAGATTACCCTTCTCCCTAAATATGGGCAGCCCTTCAGAGGCCACTGGCACACATTAATTTAATGGCATGATTGGATCCAATCCATGAACCTAATAATCACCTCTTGCCATGCCACATGTATATTGCTGGAGGCATGATTTTGGGATTGGGGATCATTTCCCAATAGTGCCATTACTACTTGTCTTTGGCTCTCCCTGCATTGGCTAATAGAAATCTGGGTGCCTATATGCGGCCCTGATGGACAATCCCAGGTCCCATTAGAGACCCAGGGCCTTCCAGGGACTGGGACTGACAATCAGATGATTGTCAGTCTCAACCCCAGAGCATCCCAGGTCCAATTCACTCAGGCCTGTCAGAGCAGACAAAACCCCGCTTCAGACAGCACAGGCCAAGCTGCTTGGCACTGGCTGAGGGAAGGCTTTGACCATCAAACTTTAAACACCATACTAGGGAGCTCTGGCTGAGCAGCGCCCCTCTCCCCACAACCGTATGTTGTCCAGATCTTCCCTTCTGTTTACAACATGCAAAGCCCAGCCGATTTCTTTGCCATGTCTGTCATGTATGCAGCATGCACAGCCCTGCATCCTTACACATCACCACCATGTCCCCAGGAGCTGGGGGGATGAAGTGAAAGCTGGACAAGGGAGGGGAAGCCTGGGGAACCAACCCAGCCACCACAGCAGCAAAAGCAATGAAGGGACTGGCAACTAGGCAGCAACCCACGGACTAGCCCTCCATCAATTGGTCCTCCTTCTCTTTTGTATGAGTCCATGGCTAAATTACATCTGAAACATTTTTCAAGTCCTGCTTTTAAGCATTTGAATGATTCACGATTTCCTTATCACTAATTAGAGTGAAATTAGTATCTCACCTGGGAGACAAAGGTATAAATGTTTGGGACAGGACACATGTCTTTGTTCATGATTTGTGAAGCACAGTGCAATATATACCACCATACATGTTTGTAATAAACTAGGCAGCCTAATTTTTTCTGGCACTAAATGCAAAAAAGTCATCCAGAATCACTCAAATTTTCTATCCCTAATAGCTTCCTTGCATAAGGAGAGTTGTTTTATTTGTATGGATAATTTCTAGAATGCAGAGGAAGGGCTACAAGGGCACTGAATACAAAGTTCTGGGAGACTTCCATATCTTCCCAAAGTCAGTTTATTGCACAGCTAAGAGAGGGGGTTAAGATTTATTTATTTATTTTTTTAACTGTTATGCCTTTATCTGATTCATAGGATTTGTCTAAATTCCTATTACCAGATCTACCAAACAAGAATGCAGCACAGATCTCCAACAAAGGTCTGTGTATATACAAAATGTAAACAATGCAATAAAATGGAACTAACTCGTTCAGCTGTATCAAGTCATGCTGGTTTAGCTACATGGAAGATGTAGGTAGCTGAAGTTTAATTTTTGGATGCTTCTTGGTGCCATAAACA